GTCCAATGAGTTTGTAATAGCTTATTGGCTAGCTCACCACACAAGTGTTCTGGAGCTGGCAATAAATATTCGAAATGTGCTGATGAATAATCTTGTGCCGTTCCGTTATTACACAACATCTCGTTACCCTAGGCAATAAAAGTTTGCAAATGGGGCTTCAATTTGTAAGTGCAAAATATTCTTTAAACTTGAAGATTTTGGAACGTGTCCTCTTACTAACGTATATAAATTTATAAAAAATTGAAATATGCAGTAAGCTATTAAAATCAAAATCATATAAATTTATGATTCGATTAACAAATTAACGCGACTATTCTTGAATGAATGATAAAAGGTAAATTTTGATCCTTACAAATCTTTTTAATTACTTTTACAGATTTTGTTTTAATTTATTTTTGATTTTATTCCATACGAAAAGTGGTCCCTCCATAATTATGTAACCTTATTAGTTGCTGATTATTACCACATTGACAAAAGGTATTCCTATTATACCTTCTATAAAATGCTTCACGTAATCATAGTTGAATTATATCAAGTTTTCACAAGTTGTGAGAGAAATGGCGTTACTTCTTCCGAAGTGACATCATATTCTGGGAGGACAATTCCGCATATTCAAACTGAAGCATTACCATGTTGACATAGATATTTTTTCAAAAAGTCCATAAAATCTGAATCTGGAAGCATCGATTATCTTGTATTTACAAAAATTTTAGTTGTATGTACAGTCATTCATCTTAACTTTTATTTTTATCTAATTATTCTTTTATGAAGTATATTTTCTCATCCAGTTTTCTTTAATATAGGCCAATGTTTTTATAGCTAATAATGGCTTCTGAAAAACATTGACATTACCGATTTCGTCATCAACACCTCAAAAGGAAAAAGAGAAGTGTAACAGATTTAATAAGCACTTCATTCAATATCCCTGAAATGACATGCTTTGTTACTGACGAAGAAGTAACTTTGCAAGCCGATGGTTCATTAGATATCCTTGAAGTCAAAAGTCTGCTAAAACAATCATTTGACAAGGAAATTATTGAAATAGGTTCTTCCCGCTCTTATAAAAACTCAAAACATCTATGTATAGATTATGAGCAATACCTAGGAAAAGTGTCTGATGAGAGATATACTGAATCTTACATATTTAGTTAGCAAAGGTATATGGTTTTGAAATAACCGGCCAATGGAACTTTGAATGATGGAAATTACCATCACTATTATAGTAATTTGGTAATTTAGCAAAATGATAATCAAAAAATTCTCTTGTGCTCGAATTTTTAGCAACAGTATCTCCATCAATTTTAAACGAGCATTTTTAAAGGATTCTTGGTTATGCTGAACATCTTTGTCCATCGGAGATTTGGGTTGTGCATTTTTCTATTTTACCAACGATCTATATTGGCCTTGCAAAAAAAATGCAATAAAATGCAAAACAGGAAACTAAATGTTGTGCATTTTGGCACGATAAAGAATTCAAAAATGTTCAAACATTTCTTGTTGACTAATTCTTGGTCGTAAGCTTGGTGAACTTGGCTTATACTATATAGGAGATTTGGCGCACAAATCATATTGGAAGGTTTTTTAGGAATATGGTTATTTTGTGTAAAAATTAGTTAATTTTACTCATTACTTCATCAAAAAATATAATCATGTCAATAATAAGGAGGATCACAATAATTGAATAAAATGTTTAGTACATTAAAAAAATTTTACATGCTAATAATATAGTTTGTTAATAAATTTAATGTGAATGAGATTAAATAAAACGAATGAGAATGAGATTAAAAAAATAAAAAAAGACAAGCATAACTACAACCCGATCAACTCTTGAACATCGCAGTATTGACGTTGGAATTCCGTTCCCTAAATTAACGTTTATTAAAAATATGATAGGCGTATTTTAAAAATTCCTTTCATTCCTTTGATGGCATAGCAGCAATCAGTATTTACATGCTGGTTGTTATCCGGCTGTGTTTGTCTAATGTTGCTATGTTGTCTTTATCGTTTTATGACCGACAATTTTTTTTATTACTTTCATTCATTTTATTTTAATCTTCATTACGTCACTTTCTTGCTTACACACCTTGATTTCTTAAGTTTTAAATTATAATATTAATCAGCCGCGAGTAAGGGGTTGTCGTTATCATCTTTTATGCACATTTTTTCATTATTTTTTATTTTTCTCGTTCATTTTATTTGATCTTGTAGTTTCTTGCTTACAAACACATAGATTATTTTTATTTTTAAAGTTTTGCGACGGATGTTGTGAGCATATCTAACAGTCATCAGATTACAGACAATGTGTTAGCATTATGAAATAAATATCATACACCGACAAGCATAATTTAGTGCTAACGAACAAATCGGAATAGCAATTCAATTTATTTAATTCTGTTATGTAAAACAATTTTTAAACCTTTTTTTTTTTTAATCGCGGAAATTTTTATTCCGATAATAATCAATTTAAGCCCAACGTGTGATTTTCTTGAAACCTGATATTATTCGATTCGTTATTTTGATGAAGAAATTTTAGTTATTTGATCTTATAAATATTAGTAATTCTCAAATATTTCATGCATTTGGCGATATAGGAAATCAAAGCCGGACTAGTATTACAATCCTGGTCTTGAATGTCAATTTTCGTGTAGTGGTGTGCCACAGGGATCGGGAAGTAATTTATTACAAGTGATATATAACCTCTTTTAATCTTTGTATCCAAAAGTAGTGACTTTGCTCGAGCATATAGCTCGCATATAATTATTCAAATGAAAAAGATTAAGCACATTAATTTCATGGATTTAAGAAAATCTAATGCGTATAGCAAGTCCATACCAATAAGTTAACAATGGTTGAATAGAATTATTTACTTGAAGTTTTGATGATTTAGGAAATAATTTGAATACATACGATTTTGGCTGCAGGTGGAGATTCTTATCCTTTAATTCGCAATGAATTAATCATTCCCTTAATTCAACTGAAGTAATCAACCTCGATGAGTGTGTTTCATCATATATACGCTCTTTATATACCTTTTATCAACATTTAACCTAAATATAAAAATTCATAGATAATTCGAGTCGATAAATAAGATCTTATTTAAAAATTTTCGTAAATTTATTGTTCAAGTAATAATCATGAGTTCATTAAAATTCAATATGGCTACTATAACATGCAATAATTTTTAGACAACCTGATTGTTCGATTAATATTGTCGCAAATACAAAAAAAATAAAAATCGATTTTCTAAATACGTAAAATGATAAATTTTATCTTAATATTTGAATTATGTTGAATAAGTCGACATTATTCATAAATCAAAAATTCAATCTTTGAAAATATCTTGACGCAAAATTCTTCCTCTAAAGTGGCGATCAAATTATTGCATCACTTTCATATCATGTTTAAAGTATAAATTATGAAAGCTATCATAATAAATTTATATTTATTTTAAAGTTTGAAAACTTCGAAGAATATTTAAAAATATCTTTTTGTCTAATTCTTCGTATAATCTTGCATAAATTATATGATTTATAAAATTGTGAAATTACAACTTTTTAACTAGAATAGCTACAGTAAAATAAATATCATTATTCAATTCTTTGGCTAAAAATTAGCTTAATTTCCAAAATTTCTAATATTTGAACTGGTAGTTATAGAGATATCAGCTTTTAAAAATCACAAAAATCACTAAAAATCGCTATTTTACGTGTAACATTGATTTTCGATGATTTTTATAATTTTTAAAAGCCGATTTCTCTATAACTACTGATCCAATTTTTACAATTTTTGAAATGCAAACTCTTAATTACTTAGCGAACGAAAATTAAGTATTCATTTTTATTGTCATTATCCTAATAAAAAGTTGAAAATCCACTACTTTGTAAATCAAACAATTTACACTATGAATTAAGCAAAAAAATTATTTTAAAATAATGTTGGAGATTCAAGGTTTAAAACAAATATAAATTTGTTATGCTAGCTTTCATAATTTATATTTTAAATTTAATTTGAAAGTGATGCAATGCTTTTGATCGCCATTCAAAGGTCAAAACTCGCACGAGTTCATATTCTGATAAAGCTGACGACGAAATTTTTGAAGATTTCTCGTCATATGATCCACAACATGTTTATTTCAATACGTCACACGTCACATCTTATAGGGTGCTGAGAAATATATCAATTATTACCACCACACAAATCGATTTTTATCAATAATACAAATTGATAATGTAATATAAATTTATTTAAGGTAATTAATTTTTTTATCCAAATATGGAGAGTTTTTTTGGGTATATTTTTGGAAATCTTAAAAAAATTCTTTGTTATTTGTTATAGATTATCGGATACGTTTAGCGGAACGGATTCGATGAAATTAAAATAAAGGAAAAATAAAACCAATTCGTATGCTGTTTAAGTAGCGATAGATATTATAATTGACATTGATAATTTTGACAAAGACTATTCAACTGATTTTGAATTCACGGTAAGTACGGGCAAGGGAAGGGATACATTTGACTCATGTGATCTCTCCATTCTCAGATGGACGTCCTTGAATTAATGAAACGGTTTAAAGAGCCACATAATATTTTTTCTCAATACGTTGCGCTCGTGTTACTTTAACGTAAAGGGCTGACTGTGTTATATGTTACCACACCAGTGGTGGAACGCATAATGTTAAGACTGTATTGATGAAGAAAATAATTGCGAAGCAAGCAAATTGATGGCGTCAGTTTTCTGAACAGACGTCAAAGTTTTTGCCATTAAAACGTCTCATTCGGAACTTACTAATTTTACCTAGATTTGCTCTATATAATCATTATATCCTTTTAACTGAAATAAATGTATTAAGAAATCATAAAACTAATCTTGATGATTTGAGAAACTCACCAATGACTGCCGATTTAAACTTATCAAGAAATCAATCTTTGAAATCTTTGTTGTAAATGATGTACAGTGGCGATCAAAAGTATTGCATCACCCGAATACAAAATTTAAAATGGAATTATCTTGTAATTTAAAAGGCACG